CAGGGGAAGGGAACCCCAACCTCTCCACATCACCAGCCCCCTCCCCAGGCCTGACCCAGCCCCTCCCCCCCAGCTCAGTCTGACATTCTTCTAGCCCCCTGCATGCTCCTCATGGCACAGAGCCAGTACAGGCAGGGGGCTGGGCCCACCAAGCACCCAGGCCGATGCTGCCCCCTCACCCCGCTCCGGCCGCAGAAGGAAGCTGAGCCAGAGCTGCGTGGGGTGGGCTTTGCGGGCAGCGGTCATGGGTCGCTAGCTGGTGCTCTCCCCGCTGAGCTCGGCACCTTAGAGGGAGGGGAGGGGATGTTTGCAGGGTAGTTGTAGCCAGGGTCCCAGCAGAACCGAGAGGCAAAGTGGTGGAGGGAGCAGCCTTGACTGGAACCCTTCCATCTGAGCGCCAACTTCCTGGACCCCACGGTCAGCTCCAGCCAAGGGACCCTCCACACACCGACGGATCCCCACACCGACCTTCCCCGCTCCAGTAACACCCCTGGCCCCGGACACACCAGGAAAGCTGCTCTCTACGCCAGGCACCCCACAGAATATGCTCCGAGGAGAAGGCCCGGGTTACACACCGTAACGCACTGAAACTCGCCTTCACGCCACCAAACTAGGACACGCCGCCAGAGAAGCAGACTGCATCAAGGAAGGGGCCACCCAAAAACCCAGGAGAACCCGCTTCAATACAGAAATAAAACCTCTCTGACCACGCAGCCCTCGTTATCACCCGCCACCCCCCACTGGCATCCACACGGGGTGCCATCAAACAGCCAGAACCCATACACCATGGGGACCCCATGCAGACAGAAATCCTTCCTGAACCCCCACTTCTGGCCTTCAATCCTCAAAATCACCAACAAACAAGCTCCCCCCAGACCAGGACACACCAATGCAAAGTGGCACCAGGCCCTGCCAGAACAACAGCTGCAAAACCCACAGCCCTATCTCCACTGATCCCCTCCCCTCGCCCTGCAATCCATCTTTCCAAATCCACGGGTCCCACACACGCCTGCTCCTCATGCCATGCACTAAATACCACAATACAGCTGTGGGGGTAAAACCAGACAATCACTTTCTTCTCCAATGAACTCACGCAGGAAATTGACAAAAGCCAAACACACCTACCACCCCGGGGGTGGACACTTTTCACAAAGCGATCGCTCCATATCTGATCTACTAGTCCACGTCCTCACAAAGGAAACCCACACAACGCTTTCAAAAGGGGAGCCTGAAGTCATAGCTTTGCTAGATGCTAAAAAGCACGGACGGCAGGGACCCTGGATATAGAGCTTATTACAACCATGTAACTGACTAACTCCCTCTGCGTGTCCTATTGCTGTAGAGGTGTTAATGGAGCATTGTGCTGAAATGCTCCCTTGCTAATCCAATGTCCCACCTTGCATTTTGCTGGGAGGACCTTTGCCAGACTGGAAGAAGAGCTGTGTGTGGCTTGAAAGCTTGTCTCTCTCCTCTGTGGAATCTGGTCCAATACACCATGTTAACTCCCCTGCCTCATCTCTTTCCAGTTACGTGCTCGAGGGTGCGGTGCTGTGCTGTGCTGCGTGGGGGCTTTTGGTACCTTTGTCAGATGGGGGGGGCACATCTCCTCCACTGGCGTGGCGTGAGCATGGAAGTGCACGCGCTGCTCAGAGCGAGGACAGAGATGTAACTGTGAGGGGACAGATCTTCAAAGCCCAGCAGGGAAATGCAGCTCCTGAGCCCCCCACAGCCCAGGGGAAGGGAGGGGCAGGGGAGCCACATGCTCTTTGGATCCCAGCCACCAGAGAGATCAGAGATCCAGCACCTGGCACAGCGCGTCAGCAGCTAGACAGGGCTGGCGTCTATGAGGCTGCTGAAATTTACAAGGCGGAGAGGCTTGGCTGGCAGCACTTGCAGCCAGGCCAGGTGCTAACACACTTCCTCGGCTTCCAGGTAAAGAAATCCCCTGCAGTCCCAGCCTGTCCTAGCCATGTGCCGAACCCAGGAGCCTGCAGGGAAAGGTGGAGGCAGGGCTGCGCTAGATCAGCTTGTTCTGTTACTCCTGGTTTGGCTGGTGTGCTTGGCTGGGAAAATCCCACTTGGGCGCAGTTAGTTTCTCTCTTCCCCCTTCGTCTGCCTGCTCTGGGCCCCATCACTGCCTACAGTAGGAAAGCTCCAGAGGACAGACCTGAGGCATGGAGATCTTAGCGCACACACCCTGAAATCCAGGGCTGGGGCAGCATGTGGGCTTGGATGCAGGGAGGGACGACCCCCGGCCAGACCTGGTGTCCAACAGCCGGCCTCCCACCAGCCACGGAGCACACGAACCGTGCGGGAAGGGGGCTGGGTGGCAGGTAGCCCGGCTGGGAGCATGGCCCCTAGAGCAGCATCAAACCCCAGCCGTCTCCCTCAGCTTCATACATGGACTGCACAAAAGCCTCCCCAGCTCTTCTTGTCCCCCCTCCCAGCCCCCCAGATCCTGTCTTGGTACGGGGTCCGGCTGATCTGGCTGACCCTCGCTACAATCTGATTGGGGGATCCTTGGCGTGATCTGGCTGGTCCAGCTGACCCTTGCAGTGGTCTGTCGGAGCTCTGGTACAATCCATCTGAGCCTTGATACAATCTAGCTGGTCCAGCTGACTTCTGGTAGGGTCTGTTTGACCCTTGCTTGCTGTGGTCCTTGGTAGGGTCCAACTGAGCCTTGATGCCGCCTGGCGGACCCTTGGTGTGATCTGTCAGACCCATGGTACAGTCTGGCTGAGTGTTGGTATGGTCTGGCGGACCCGTGGTACATTCCGGCAGACCCTTGGAATGGTCCTTGGTGCGGTCCGATGGACCTTTGTTGCGTTCTGGTGGACCCTTGGTATGGTCCTTGGTACGGTCCAGCAGATCCTTGGTGTGGTCTTTGGTACAGTCTGGCAGCCCTTTGGATTCCAGGATCTCTCCCCTCTTGCCCCCATCACCTGGGCAGCTTAGGCCAGCCCAGCCGAATTCAACTGTGCTCCAGGTGCCTCGGCCACCCTGCCTCCGGTGCCTCTCCAGGACCGCTGTGAGCAGCGTCCTGCGCCGGGCAGCAGGGACAGCCACCGTCACGGCCAAGGGCCAGGCTCCAGCTCGCAGCCCCAGCCCTGGCAACCATGAGGGCCAGTCAGACGAACACAGATGCGCACTGCCCCAGACGCACGCAGTGGGGACAGCCACGTATTACACTGCACTTAGCGCCGCCCTTTGCCCTCCTCACCGGCCCCTCGGATTTCGCCCAGGGTGAAACTCCCAGGTCTGCCACCACTAGGCCTTGGACAAGTTACTTTCCCCTTTCTGTGCCTCAGTTTCCTTATCGGTAAATGGGGATAAATGACACCGACCTCCTTGGTAAAGCGCTTTGAGATCTTCTGATGGAAAGTGTTACATGCAACCAACCTACCCAAAGTTGATTCCTCTGGAGCAGCCATCCCCAAAATGATTCCACTGCGATACCCAATATTACTTGGCCAGATGCCCAGGAGGGGTAAATTTGGATTGACACCATTAAAGTTAAAGATGTGACAGCGGTTTCTCTTTCTGAGTTGTGCAGTGGTTCTCTTCGAGGTCCCCAAGTAAGACCAGGGCTCTATCATGCTAGCACTGCACAGGCACACGCTAAGAGACAGCCCCTATGCCAGAAAACCCCCGGCAGACTAAACAGACTAGGCAGATGAACGGCAGGGACTTGCTCAAGGTCATCCACAGATCAGTGGAAGAGCGAGGAACTCCCAGGACCCCAAAGATGCAATCCAGCACTCGACCCGAAAGGCACGGCTGCTTAAGCAGGCATTTTATACCACGTGAAAATATAGCTCTCACTTCTAGCTTCAAGGGGGCAGCAGCCACTACTGCCGGGGCCTCAGAGACCACGCCTGGGGCCAAGAAGAGACCCAGGAAGACTCGAGGGCTCTGTCTCAGGCGCTAAAGAAGGGACTTGGGGCAGTTCGCTCACTTGTCTCTACGTGGCCTTGGTGTCTGGCACGAGGAGGCAGCCAAAAAGGACATTGCTACAGGAAAAATTCCTGACCGAGGACTCGAGACAGGTGAGCACCTGAAACAGAGCAGCCGAAGACGACGACGTTTTCTATCAACCTAGCAACTGCCACTCGGAGACAGGGATCCACTACAGCAGTGGAAAAGCCCCTTCCACAGCTACAGGAAGCATCTACACAGCAATGCTACAGCACCTGGAGGGTAGACATGAATCATAGAACCGTAGAGCTGGCAGAGGCCTCAGGAGTCATCAAGTCCAGCCCCCTGCCCAAGGCAGGACCAACCCAACTCAGTCAACCCGGCCAGGGCTGTGTCAAAAACCTCTAGGGATGGAGATTCCACCCTCTCCCTAGGGAACCCAGCCCAGCGCTTCACCACTCTCCTAGGGAAATAGTTTTTCCTAATATCCAACCTGGACCTCTCCCACTAACTTGAGCCCATTGCTCCTTGTTCTGCCACCACTGAGACCAGCCTCTCGCCAGCCTCTTCGGAACCCCCCTCAGGTAGCTGCAGGCTGCTCTCAAATCCCCCCTCCCTCTTCTCTTCTGCCGACTGAACAAACCCAAATCCCTCAG